TTTAGAATGATTAGGATACTTTTAAATTATATTTTATTAATATTTTTGTGATACGATAAATTGATAATTATAATTTGTTCAACTTCAACTTGTATATAAATATAATCATATAATAGAGAATATGATTTTGTTTTTCAAAAACGTTTCAATTATACACCTTAAACATGTAGAAATATTTCAAAAAAATAAAATAGATACAAACAAATATTTTAGTTAATAAATTATACAAAATATACAGTTTAATCAATATAAAGTAATTAAAATTTAACAATGTAATTTGTACTAATACTATTTTATAGATTTATTAATATTGAAATAATATATATAATTTGTACATGTCACTATACATTTTAATATCATACTTGATTTTTCAATATTTTTGTACAAATATTAAATATCATATATAAATTCTAAAAAAAATTAAAACGCATAAAAAATATTAGATTCATGGTATCAAAATCTCAATCATGATATGATAATTTGATAACTAATACACAATGTTAATCTATGTATTCGGTTTGTTTTAAATGATAAATTTATTAAAAAAATTATTTTCTTATTTTTCAATTTTATATTTAAATAATTCACATAAACTAAAATAGAGAAATTATAAAGCGCAATTCCTACTCTTAAGAATTTCACATTTTCCCTTCATTTGGCTCAAAGTAGGGGTGATTATAGGACAAATTTAGCGGATGATTTAGCTTAATAGTTTCTATTTATTGGATATCATCTTTTAAAGATATATGCTAGCTAGTCAATAAGTTATCGATTGATTTGATATCAGATTAATAATTATCAAGTGATAATTGAGAAATTGTAAACATAATGAAAAATATATGAATATCTAAAATTTGAGATTGCATACACATAAGCATTTAGTATTTAACCAATATACTTACGATATCAACAAAAAAAATTCTATACTTACTATAAAAACGTAACTATAATAATTCTTAACAGGTTAACAATGCACTCAATAAGAAAATTAAGTAATATGTTCCTACATCGTTGACCTCTAACAATAATAATTAATATATTCATAATCGTTAATTCGATAATCCAATATTAATAAATTAATTTTTACTAATTGAATTTTATTATCTTCTCAAATATGAAGTGCACATGTGTCAACTCCTTATCCCTATAAACCATAAGATAACAGGCTATCCTTCACCGGAAATAAGAGATAATCTTATCCCTTCATCACCGTCGATCTCTGTTTCATCTTTAATCTCAACCGTTCATTACCCTCCATAATCCCTTTTCTCATTTCTCACTCTCAAACCTCTACTCTCCTCTCAATTTTTCTCGAGCATAGAGATTTGATTTTTCATCAATGGCGGCTCTACAACAAACTCCGATAACTTTCCAATCCCGTTCACCGCCGCCGACTCAACTCATCAACGGAACCGTCGCAAAGCTATCCTACTCCGGCGGTCTCAAGCTCCCAAAACTCACACTCAAACTCCGATCCAAACGCACCTCCCGCCGCGGCCGCGGCCGCGGTGTACTCGGCGCAAAAATGGCAGATTCCGCCGCCGGTAGCTACGCGAACGCTCTCGCCGACGTAGCTAAATCCAACGAAACACTAGAACAAACCACAGCAGATCTCGAAAAAATCGAGAAAATCTTCGACGACGATGCGGTTTACGATTTCTTCGTAAGTCCTATCGTTAGCGAAGAGAAAAAACGTGAACTCGTCGACGAGATCGTTTCATCTACAGGCATTCAACCACACGTTGCAAATTTTCTCAACATCCTTGTTGATATGAAGAGAGTTGAATTAATCAAAGACATTGTTAAAGAGTTTGAGAAAGTTTACAATACCTTGACGGATACTGAACTTGCTGTAGTGACTTCAGTGGTGAAACTGGAATCGCAACATTTAGCACAGATCGCAAAAGGAGTTCAACGATTAACAGGAGCGAAAAATGTGAGGATCAAAACAGTGATTGATGAATCTCTTGTTGCTGGATTTACAATAAGGTATGGAAATTCAGGATCTAAATTGATTGATATGAGTGTGAAGAAACAACTTGAAGATATTGCTGCACAGCTTGAAATTGGGGATATTCAATTAGCTGTATAAATAATTAATTGTTGTGTTTTTTTTTAATTATTATGATATTTTTGTAATATATAATTTTGCGTAAAACATAACACTATTCTGAATTTTTGGGTAAATGTAAATTAGTTGCTGTATGCAAATTCAGATCGATCGACTCATAGTTGATCCGATTAAATACCTATAATCGGAAAAATCGAACTATTATATTTCATGATCTTAGATATGTGTACAAAATTTACATCCCTCATATAATTCATGAGTTTCCAAATGTCTTCACAATCAATGATTACGAGATTTAATTTCGTATGAGAAGTTGATTTTTCTAATCTTTAAAATCAAAATATTTAAAATTAAAAATTTATATCAAAATTATTATAGATTTTACTCTTTATTATGTCAATGGAAAAAAAATATTAAGCTAAATTTACTCTGAAACGATATTAAAAATAATGTTGAAGAGCTCTTAAAAGTTCAAACAAGATTGAAATATGATTCTATGGTGTCTCAAAACTAATGGAATGTGTTTGACACTTAATCCTTCAAAGCCATTAACAACTATTTTTTAACTAACAAAAAGTCATCTCTTCATTAAGTAACCATTGATAGCTTAGAGATGAATCGTGTGAATCCTAAGTCTATAGGTGGTTAGGGATGGCAACTGGGCGGGCAAGATGGGGGTTGAGCTTAACCTGCTTAATTTATAATTTGTCCCACCTCGTATTGTATAACATTTTCAGCTCGCTATAACCCGTCCACCACCCCTTATAGATTCGCCTTGTATGAATTGAATTTGAACCCATATAAAATCACATATATCTATAATCCACTTTTCACCAATAGCTCTTAAGAAACAATATAAGAGAAAGGAAATAAAGACGCTGATGTGAGCTCTATAAGTAAGAAACAAGTTAATAACTTTGATGGTCACTCAACTATCAATTGTTTTCATAGAAAGTCACTCAACTTTCATTTTTAACTCAAAAGTCATTCAACTATGATCTCTTTGCATAGAAAGTCACTCAACTTTAATTTTCAACTCAAAAGTCACTCAACTATGACTTCTTTGCACAGAAAGTCATTCAACATATTTAATTATTTTTTTCATTAAAATTTAGTGACATATAATCTTAATTATTAATCAAAATTTTAAGAATTGACTATATATCCATTTAATGACCCGCTCCATTTAACCGACCCGCTAAAAATATAATATTGAACATTTTATTTTACCATTAATTCCCTAAATCATTCTCCTTTGTCTCCCAAATTCTTTTAGCAAATTAATGATAAAATAAAATGTTCAATGTTCAATGGGGAATGATTTAGGGAATAAATGAAATAATAAAATGTTTAATATTATATTTTTAGCGGGTTTGAATTAAATGGGCGGGTCACTAAATGAATTAAATGAATATAATATATATATATATATATATATATATAGATATAGATATAGATATAGATTCTCCTTTACTTTATTTTTATTATCATCTACCTATTAGTATCTTTAAATCAAAATCACATAAAATAAAGTTTGAGGGAGTACGTTTACTTTTTAGCCGGTAATGATATTGCCTAGCTTAATAAGAGTGGGAGTCTGAATTTAGATATGATCATGATTAACATTAATTGAATTGTTTTTTATGGGTGAGAAGATAAAAGTTTTAGTTTGTATTATATATCTAAAATATTTTATATTATTTGTAATTTAAAATAATCTTTAAACATTAAATTATTTTATTCCAGTTAAAATTATTTTTAGTTATAATAAAATAATATTTGTTTGAGCATCTATGAATTAAGATAATTGTATAGAATGACAAATTAATAATATTAAATAAATATAGTAGCTACCGTTTGATTTATTTGTGTTATATAACATTTTGTTTGTCATTCCCTCTCTCACTCATATTGTAGCTCGCCATTCTCCCTCTCTCGCTCGCCTCTCTCACTTTATACGATAAAATTGTATAAATTGTGATTCTAATTGTATAAAGCGAGAGAAAATTGTATATGCACATGCAAATACATATATCTCCGACTAATACACTCATAATTATACAATAAAAGTACTTCACTGCCCAAGTCTCTTTTGTCTTTCTCTATTTCTCATTTTATACAAATTCAAATTGTATATAATTTCTCTCCTTCTCGTTTTATACAATTCGATTCAATTGTATATTTCTGGCCCAAGTTTCTTTTGCCTTTCTCCCTTTCTCGTTTTATACAAATTCAAATTGTATATAATCGTCCTATACACTTATAATTATGCAATTCGTTTTACATACTTCATTTTATACAATTATATGTCCAAGTCTCTTTCTCTTTTTCTCGTTTTATACAATTCGCAGCGAATTATACATATATATGTGTTTGTTATGGAGCGCAAAATTTACAAACTTTGTTATATTATACAAATATGAATTTTATATTTGTTATACGTGAAAGTTGACATGATGAATTCTCTTAGAGAAAAAAAAGGCTCCTATATCTTAATTAAAAGTCTTGAACTCGAATTATAAATATAAAAAAATCCTTTTCTAAAGAGCATTTCTCTCCAAACGAAACCTTATGCCAAGTCAATTTTAAAATAATCAAATCCAAATATAAATTTAAAACACTAAATACAAAATTAAAAATACATTACACCAAAAAACTTCAACATAAATAAAGAATTAAATACAGAAAAAATGTAAATAAATAGCCCTCAAAATCCGACCAAAACGGTTGGGATCTTGGCGGCTATTAACTATAGCAGGAGTTTTGAAAAATTTATTCGAATAAATTATTTTCGTAATAATTATAATATTTATGCAATATCTTTTTTATAATTTAATTATCATATTAAAATTCGATTAATTTAATTATCATATTTTTTAATAAATACTTGTAAGTTGCACAAGTTTGTTTACCTATAAATTTCATTCTTTCTATGTTTCCTTTTGCCACCCAACTTCCATTTGTGAATTTCTCCATCAAACTAAACTCTAAAAAGCTAAAACCCACTTCTCCAATTTCACTCAATTTTGTAGATTTTCAATAATCTTTCAGTTTTTTATCCCCAAATCTATCTGGGTATATGAAAAAGTAAATAAAAATCGAATCTTTTTCAGCTGTGTTCTCCTCCATCGCATCAGGTGAATCTTACTACAATCTTAGCGTTATGTTGTTCATAAATGTGAGTAATTTTAGTAGTATTAGCTGTTTTTTGTTTGGGTATTTAGTATGCTTTTGGTAAAATTTCAGATTTTTAGTTGTTGACCCTTTTAAGGTGCAGAGTTCCTTCTCATTTGTTGATTATTTTGAATGTGATCTTTGCTAGGAATGTTATTAGAGTGTAATTTTCAATTATTTGTATGTTATTCTAGTGGATTTTTCACTAGGGGATTGGAAAATTAAAATGAAGTGCTTGAGATTTGAGTTTTGAACCCTTAAATAACTAATTCAACCTCTAATCTTTATGTTAGGATATTCAAAATCAATTTGGTGTGTGATTTTATTGAATTGAAAAAATGGAAATCTGCCTGAGTTTCATATGGACTCTTGTATTGTCTCGTTGGGCCACGAAGGTCCAAATTTGCCTTTATTGTGTCAGCTCCTTTTCTGAGTTAAAGATGTCCAAAAGTTTCAATACTTTGTTCTCTTTTAGCTGTATTCTCCCTTCTTCATTGCACTAGATGAAAACTCTAATTATGTCTTACTTCTGGCTGAATTTGTATTTACTGTATTAGTAGGTTTTCTAGCAATTTAGAATATAAAGTTCACGTCTTGATCGATTTGAAGTACATAACTCATTCTCAATTCTTGATACTTTTGAAGTACTTGATGTATTTTTCCCTCTGTTGATCTTAATTCTTCTAATCAATCAACTACGAGTCAATCACAAAATAGTTGTAGTTGGAGACTGCTATATGAATCATCTATAGTGTTGTGCTTATTTGGGTTCGCTTCTTTTCCCATTTAACTTATTGTGAAGTTGTTGATGTGGATTGCTAGCTATTATTTATCTTGGAAATTCCCTGTTATGGAACTTGCATTGGTCGATGAATTGGTTATCCTGAGGTTGTGATCTTGGTGGGTTGTCATATTGTAGATAAACAATCTCTGTAACGAATTTTCACGGATTCAATGAACAAGACTGATCATGCACCTGAAACAACAACACTTAAAATCAAGGCGTTCTTTGAATCAGCTCCACCACTAAAAGATGCTACTGAAATAGAGACAAAATTGAAGGAATTTGTTGACCGGAATTCATCATCAGGCAAATTTGCTTTCGTTCAGCTCTCGTAGCTTGTATTTTTTGAAGTTCCTTTTCACAATCTGGACAATGACAGTGCCATGTACCTATTCTGACTTTGTCTTTATCGTCATGTTCAGGGAATGGAAAAGCAAATAGGGTGGTGTGTGTGACTTCTGGCGGTACAACTGTTCCTTTGGAGAAACGATGTGTTCGCTATATTGATAACTTTAGCTCTGGTCATAGAGGATCTGCTTCCACAGAGTATATCATGAAAAACCATACTTAAATTCTCTAGTACGCATTTGGTTCATGTAACGTCATACATTCAAATTGAACTGGAATTGCAGGTACTTTTTGAAGGCTGGTTATTCTGTCATCTTTCTGTATCGTAGGTTTGTGTCAAGTGCATTGCTATGTATTACCATTATCCTGATCATGTTTCTTCCTTTCGGAAAATAGTATATGCTCTTGACTGGATTTTTAAGGCCATGAAACTCTACATATGCAGGGGAACCTGCCAGCCATTTTGCAGATCACTACCTGACGATCCATTGCTCGAGTGTTTTACTTCAACTGATGATTTAAGTATTCAAGGTCTGTTATTTTTGCATTTATTCCCAATACAAATGCACAAGACTTTTTTCATTTCAACAGGGGGCAGGAGACCTAATAAAATAGATGTGAGAATTATAAAACGAGGAAATATAATAATGTGATAGAATTTGGAAAGTTTCTGTTTATATTATTATTCCTAATTTCCTGTATGTCGATGTTGCCCACATCCCAGCTTGTTAGGTGTTACCTCGGGTGGTTGGCGGGGGATATTTACCACTGTTACTTGGAATATTTTGAACGTGGCTGATGTTGTTGACCATTTTATGCTTTTTAGTGGACCCATCGCATGCTGAAGTGGTGAAGAGAGCCATTGCTGAAAATCGTTCGGTGAAGATCTTAATCAATTATTCATTTAGATAATTTCAATTACATTTGTCAGTAATTAACTTAAGAATTTCTTATTGCAGGCAGTTAATGGCGGTTTCCTGTTGAAATTACCGTTTACAACAATTTTCGAGTATTTACAGGTCATGTTCAGTGTTTTTTTTTGGTATGATAAGTAGGTTATATTCAATAGATTGGTGCAAACCTATATGGTGTACTTAATTCTAAAAAACTTTTACCTTGAGTAAGCAATATGCTCCGTATCTGATATGTTGTATGAAAGCTTGTAAAAGAGTATTAAATGTGGTTTGTGTTAAACAGATTCTTCGGATGATAGCTGTCTCTTTAAGGAGCCTTGGTCCTAGTGCTATGTTCTATCTTGCAGCTGCAGTTTCTGATTTCTATGTACCGTGGGAGAGCATGGTAATCATTTATTCCTTCTTGGCGCTGTTTTGGTTGAATTTGCAGTTGGAAATGGTTGGATGCAGTTTGATCTTTGTTCTGTTCTTCTTTGTTGTCTCTTGACTTCTCTTGTTTCAATGCCAGAAATGACAGTTATATAACAAAAACAACCACACCTCAATCCCAAGGTAGTTGGGGTCGGGTGTATGAATCCGTAATATCATAAATACTCCATGCTTCATTATATTTCAATATCCTTACTTAAGGATTGCCTAGCACTAGGATTTTCTCTAATTTACCTTAGTGGGTATATCTCTTATATACTCAAAGTAGCCTTCTCGTTGGTATTCATCACTACAAATATTCAGCTTTCGTTATTTTCTATCTTTTGATAGATCTGTCTGGACTCCAAGATATTCCAAATATTCTGAGATGACTTCTTTCCATGTGATTTAAGGTTACCGGTGCATCTGGAGGTGTACATAAGACATAACGAAACCACCTCAAGCAATATTTTCTCATTTTATCTCCTATATGTGGGGCTTATACCTTCTAACATATGTGATCATATTTATCTTATCATTTGCATCTCTTCGATACTCATCTTGTTGGATATATTGAGCTTTTAGAGGGCAAGCATTCACTCACATACTTTATTGATGTTGTTACAACCGTTCTATAGAACTCCTTTTTGCTTTGGTAGGTAGAAATGATAGATATATAACAGATATTTTTGTTCTTCTCCCATCTTCTGGTATTTGCTTAATATAAGCTCCTCTTTACAGACGATGCATAAGATCCAGTCAGGATCTGGTCCTTTGGACATGCGGCTTGCTCAAGTACCGAAGATGCTTTATGTTCTTAGAAATGAGTGGGCACCAGTGGCTTTCTGCATATCTTTCAAGGTTAGCTGAATCACTTCTCGAGGTTCCTTTAACGATCTTGAAGTTTGCTGTACCTATGGTGACTGAACAATTAACCTGTGTCGAATATATATTGAGGAGAACTGTGCATATGCTGTACCTGTAAAAATACTCGCATTCTATTTCCTACGAGTTTCCAGAGTTCAAAACTGATTGATTCCCCACAACTATTACGTATATATATGAATGTGACCTGTATATCTTCATATCTCTGCTCACCACATAGTGCGAATACTGATTTCAACGTTTACTTCTTAACAGCTGGAGACAGATACAGATATCCTTTTAGGGAAGGCTGATATGGCCCTCAAAAAGTACAAGATGCATATGGTGGTAGCTAATGAACTTCAAACTCGTAAAGAGGAAGTTATAGTTGTCACAGAGCAGGAAAAAATCACAGTTCGTAGAGACACAACTCAGCCTGGGGCTGATGTCGAAGATCCATTGATTAAGCTTGTTGTGGACAGACATTCAGCATACATCAATGCATGATCTCTTCTGAACCTGACTTCTTTGAGGAATTGTATTACATCTGTGCAACAATTAGGTAACCTATTGATGAGTCTTTTCTTTTTCTTGTTGAAGAATTAAGTTTCGTGCACGAATAAGGCGCTGTATTACTGAATAAATTAGTAAGTTATGTTCTTCAGTGTTGGCTCTGATTCTTGCTGTTCCCATGTAGAAGTTAGCAGAGCACCAGTTACTCCTTTTTCTCTGGGCATGATGTATTTCTTAATGATACCTGTTTATAAGTGTCTTTGTGGCTCTAAATCATACCGATAATGTGACTCTAAACTTGACGTGATTCTCGTCTTGTATGAAGGTAGTGTTAGGATGAGCTCACACACATCTCGACTATTTCATTAGGTACCTGATCTTCACCTGCTATCAGTATTAGTAGAAAGGGATACAGCATCTATGAAAGCATCAATATACCCACAGATAATGAGTCAACAATGGCAAATCGAAAACTAAACGTTTCAACCTTGCCAAGTTCAGTATAGTACAAAGTTAACCTATGATTGATGTACATCTAAATAACTTAAAAAGATAACTATTTTGGTTCTTCTTGTATTGCACAATACATTGTTTTAACCTGAAGTAGCTTTCCAAGATGCTGTATTCTTCACCAGGTGCGTGGAGGCGGACCAATATGCGGGGCATCTTCTATAGATTCTTATCGTCCTCCTCTGCAAGCTCCAGACCTTCGGCAGCCAGAAGCCTGCTAATGACTCTTTTCTTTTCTTCCTCTGATTTTCGCCGCATTATGTCTCTTTTCCTTAAGACAAGTGTATGTCGCTTTAACGTATTATTAAAATTCTCCACAGAAGCCTTTCTCTCTTTAGCAATGATTCGCCTTTCTTCTTCGGGATCCATCTGAAAAGGTCCATTTTGTCAATAAATTATAGATGACGCTAGGAAAGAAATGTGCATCATATTTATAGTCTTCAGGAGTGGAATGAAGGGAACGAGTACGACATAAGGAATGAGGAATGGAAAACTGCATCATATGGATGGTGTAATGCAGATTGAGACCTGCTGGGTATATGTATGGCTAATGCTAGTTCACCAAATGACGAATATCTGTCATGACGGTGAAAAGAGAGGAACTAAAAAGAAAGAAAGTGAAGATTGATGAACTGATTAAGACCATCCCAATGAATGTTCTAGTATTTTTCTACGTGGGATATTCAGAGCCACATTATGTTAATGAGAAGTTAAAATATGTCAAAACACATCTTAATATGTGCATATCTTGAAGTGATATCAGTAAGTTAACAAGGGCAATACAGAATGCATGATTAGCAGGTTAGCACACAGAGATACAAAACGTGTACTATAAGCAGTTCTATACCTTTGAACGAGCAAGGCGGCGGGCCTTCAGATTTAGTTCTAGCTGCTGCTGTTCAGCCCATGCAGCAATGGCCATATCACCCCGTTGGTCAAATGCTTTTCGCTTTTTCATTAGCCACTCCACCCATGCTTCGGATGCCTGATGAATAACAGAATAGCATCATGTTAGTTTAAGAAAATGAAGATACTGCAGGCCCCAAAGCTAGAGAACAGATAGCACCACATTAAGGAAACACTTCATTGACATAAACAAATCCAGCCATTCAACAAGTAAAAGTTTGGGGGCTAATTATGGTGTAAATACTAGAACTTTGCAAAATCACTAATCTTAGTATTGGCAAATTCTGTCCACACAGAACTTATCAACCAAAAAAAAAGCGATTCCTGTAATCCTGTCCATTGAATATGTACAACATCCACAGTGTGCATAAGGAATATGTAATTTCTCAATTTTATATATATTTCCCTTTCCACGTTGCAAAATTTGGTAGTTTGCACCTTAAAACAATCACTCAGGTATTTTAAAGAGGCAATATGAAGTATACTGAAAGGAGTACACTAAGGCATTTTTCATTTGAACTAGCAAAATTCGTTTTCACACATCAACAAGAGGCTATGTGTAGAACAGAGTCATTTAGACTCTAGCCCCTTTTTAGATTAATAACTGGTACTACTTGGATAATAAGCAATCTTCTCTTCTTTTTTTTAATTGATGTAAAGATAATACATTAACAACTATCAACGTTGTTCTAAATTTTCACCTTCATGGGGTTTACTCGATTGTCTTTATCATATTTTCTCCGTTCGTCTGCATCTATAAGAAGCTCGTAAGCAGCTTGAATCTTAATGAATCGAGCTTCAGCAGTTTCTCCTTCCTCAAGAGTCCCTCTGCCATTATAAACTTGGAGGAGAAAACAGAAGTAAGTTAGTTCCAGATAGAAGAAGACAGTCGATACAAGGGCTCTAGGAAATTGATTCTATGACCCGACAAGTAATCACTAGGATTGACCAACAAGAGATGGCAACCATTTATAAAAATTCTTGATAAGATCTTCAACAGCCTAATCGGTAAAGAAGGCCTAGTTTACTGAAATTTTGTTATTTGAGATTCATGATAGAGAAAATGGATATCCACACAACCTAGTTTGACCAAACTGGTTGAGCTAGGATTTCTTTTGGTATGATTATTAAAAATTTCTTACGTGCAACTGCCATAGCTCTGTGCACAGCTAAAATCTTATCTATGATATTTACAGTTTCTACTTGCAAGAAATGGAGCACCTCAATAAATGAAATATTGATGGATATGATCTCGTGGACCAGAGAAAATATTCCGTATCATTAAGTCATAAGTTAGCTTTCTGAGAAGCCGACTTTGGACTTATCAAATCCGGCTTTTGTGCTACAGGTATAGGTCATTTCACTAGTACAAAAAGACATCAAATAATTCAGTTCCAAAGATAAAGAGAGATCCTATCCAAGGCTTGTTAAAAAACATAGAAAGGCATTCCACTAGTGAATAAGTCATAACAAAAGCCAGAGCAGGAGAAAAAGTGGAAGTGTAATATTACATGAAAGGCCTCTACTAATTGAAGATGAGCGTACAACTTACATATGGACATAGAACCAACTTGTCACATTTACGCATACATATACAAGCATATGTATTTACTATCCTTTTTCTTCTATACAAGGGCGTGAATAGAAGTGTCTTTTTCTTTACTATTCAGTGTCATGAATTTGACACCAGAGAATACCGTGCCAAACAAGTTCTTTTTTTTTGGTACATGCATACAAATATAGCTAAAATCAAAACGAGCATCAGGTCAAACAAGTACACAACATACTGATACTGATTACCAAAAAGGAAAAAAAGGTAACTAAGAGAAAATGCATGTGTGAGGAATGCACTAAAATGACAACTATAAGATTAAGCACAAACCATCTGGATGGTAAAACTTCGCCAATCGTCTATATGCCACTTTTATTTGTTCTTCATCAGCATCCCCTTCTAGTTCTGCAAATAGAAACATTGCATCAGTTTTTGCAAATAATGCACAAGTACTGAAATGCACAGCGTAAGAGGGAAAGGACTCCACTGTGCTTTATAGTCCACTAATATGAAGGAGTTCTAAAGGTAGTTTCAGTGCGTCTTATAACTAAAACCAGCAAAACTAAGTTGGTAGTGTATAGACACTTCATAACGTTAAATAGGTTGGAATGAGATTGTCCGTACAGGCCTATGACACTTCTACACATACATCCCAAGATGAAGATGTCCTTTATGAAAACACCAAACAGAAAAAGAATAATAGAGAAGACAAGAAATGAAAAGACTAAAAGTTGAAAACTCATACACAGAGAACTCTTGAAACTATGAAACACACCATGTGAGTTAGAAAGATTTGCTACTGATATAGAAATTTTCTTCCAAACATGAAGCCTTTGAATATATTTTTTTTCAGCTTTCCTTTGTTGTTCTAATATGTTAACTTAATCTAGCAGAGCTAATGATTTGGTTTTAACGCAGTTTCACAACTCCTAGATCCTCCATATTTTGCTAAAAGTCATGTATTTCACACAACATAAATATTCCTAAACAATATTCAATTCAAATGTATCTTTGATAAGAAACTATTCGTTCTTCCTTTGCGTTTTCACTAAGATGTTTTTCTCATCATAGTTCCAAGTCAAATTGAGTTCAACTTCCATTCTTTGACAACAAAGGTCCACTAGGCCTCAATTCCAAACAAGTTGGGGACTGCTAAATGAATCGCCCCCTACCATGATACTCCATTTAAACTCATGTCAACTATTATATAAAATACCAACAATTTCAAGTGTCTATTTTCATGGACTGCTAACCTAGAATATAGTAAACCATACTTATTATGCAAAAAAAATGATTTTAAATCCAAGCAAACCAAAAGCAGAATTTTTATGCAGAAATAGTACAATTTCTTTTCATAACTATTAAATCATTTAAAAGCCAACTACAGCTCCTACGTTTCAATTTGTTCGTCTTACCTCCTTTTTTTTAGCAACTCCCTGTTCTGTCAAAATCGGATAAACAAATTGAAACCGAGGGATAGTTCAATATTCAAACATACCGAGAGTTTCATAAGGAGACTTTGAATCATTCCAATTATAAGCAGAAGTAGTCACCATTTTCCTCTGCTGATTCAATCGATGATCCCAAGTTTCCATTCTACTCGAAGTATGATACCATGATTGCAGCACCGGTGGTTTAGTCCATCGAGAAACTGAACTAAGGTTCCAATTTGAAACCCTAACTGCCGATTTCCCCAATAAGTCTCTGCAACAACAAGTAATTGAAAAATACACAACTTGAGGTCTACAAATCGATCTCAAATTGCTCATAATTTTGGATTTTTGATTGTTAATTTCACTCTTCACAGAGTATTTCAGATTTCTATGCCATTAATGGAGTAAGAAGATTTGATGAAGTGATAGAGAAATGAATTTTATTTTAATTAATTTTAAAATTTTTGTTTCCTCAAAAATTCTCTTTAATTATGTGGACGGTTTATTTCGTTACATTTGGAGCAAAAAGAATTAGCTAAATGACTGTTGTACCCTCCATGGATATGTAGCTATGTCCGTCTTCTTTACTTTATCGTCAAAAGTTAAAATGGCGTCGATAGATGCATAATGTCGTCGATAGAAGCATGTCGGGTTATGATTTTTCTGCTGAATTTGTGCACTTGTTATGTCTTGTGGTTAAAATATCGATGAATTTATTTGAATTTATTATGTCTTGTGGTTAAAATATCGATGGATGCATGTCAGGTTATGATTTTCCTGCTAAATTTGTGCACCTATTATGTCTTTAAAAGTGTCAATGAATGCGTATCAAATACTTCAATTTTAAAGAGTACGAGCAACAAAGATTAGGAGACTTAACCTTAGCAATAATGAATATCTGATAATGATAAAAGATATGAGGATATTTTATTACTTGTAAAATCAGATACAAATAGGAGGGAGTACTCTTTTTCAAACTAACAAGTGGGAGAACACTCTCTCCATAATACATTTTTTTTTCAGTTTACACCATATGTAAAAATTAAAATTACATTTTCCAGATTTCTCTGAGTTTCATAGTTAAAATTTCTCTACTCTCATCAAGTTCTTATTCTAGAATTATACACATCCCCCTTCCCTATGTACATAAAATTCTTGAAACTTGCCAGGGTACCACCTGAATAATACGCGTTTTCCGAGTATGAAATTCTAGACAAGACTTCGATTACATTTTCCATATACATCTCGTTCAGGCGTAGTTAAACAGCTTACATTCGAGGAAACTTAGTGATCTTCGTCTGCTTTGCTCGTAAAAGGCTAGGTAGGTTCACGAGGACGAGCAGCCCAAAGAGAACTTAGAGCACGAAGACGTTGAAGATACTCCCCGAAAGCTAGTAACCCCCTGGCTGATTGGCGTGTTGTCAAGACAAGTGACATTTGTTGTAGTGTTTGCTGTCTAAGGTGATCTGCCTGTTTAAGATCACAAGATTCGGAAGTCGTTTTTACTTTCTTAAACTCTGTGTCAAGTCGAAACCAAACAAACAAAAATTTGAAACGGAGGGGAGTAATAGAAAGTGTTACCTGGTTAACGAAACTCTCGAGTGCTTCTAACTTTTCCATACTAGAAACCATTTGAGAACTGTAACTTCCCATTCCAGTGGTCATAGTTAGGATGTTCTGTGCCAGAGTTTGCTGAAGTTTATCCATTCCCTGAGTGAGAGCATCCTCGGCTTGCTGACAACAGTGTCGTAGATTACAGATTTTCACGATCTGCTGATCTGACAATGGCTCAAGCTGTGGCATCACGATCTATAAAATTGACGTTACAATGAGAAATCTCACACTTATTTGATAAGTTGCAGGCAGAACTTAAGGAAACAACACAAGCAAGAGATAAAAAGGATACGAATGGGACTAATGGACGGTGAATGTTAGAGATGCAACTAAATGAGAATTTCAATCAATGCAGCAAGAATAATATGTGAAAATAGTCGCGGTAAGAGTTGAGTTTGTTGTCACAAGAAAACATGAGAGGAAATTTGGGAGCCTCTTTAAACATAGATTGACAATATGACGACTCCGAGACATTTATGTATATAGGTGTGATGACTAATTCAGGATATTTATGTATAAGCTACACTATGAGTCAGATTATGATAAACGAATATTACTAAGCTACAGAGCAGTGAAAATGCAGCAAGGACTACATACATTTATGAGTTCAGATGGCTTGAATCCTCCAATCCAGAGGAAAAAACGCTCCACCGAAGTTCTCCACATCCCAGACATCAAGTAAAACACATCAGCTTTCGCAGCATCAGCTTTGATTCGGAATAGATTGTAGTAGTGGTTTAAGACGGTTTCTACCAGCAACTGAAGCTCCATTTCGCTTACATGGGATTGCAATATGTTCCTCAACTCTACGTTCTTTTTTTGTTGCTCTTCAACCCAGAGACTATATTCCATTTCAAATGCAGCTATTCCTGCATAGGCAACACCAGTTAGGAACAAAATTCACGATACACACACTGTTTTCAAGAAAGTCACATGACATTGTGAAGATCTTAGCTAGACAACAGCGCGTGACATTACCTAATGAAAAAGTGGAAGTATCTATTATTTTACGCAAGAGACTTGAGCAGGTGTAGCTGAGTTAACATTAAGAATCTAAAACAGTTGATAAGTTAAACTAACTCATGAACAGAAAATGAAAAATGAGCTATTAAGCGACAAGTCCAGTATCCACAAACCTGGATTAATTGTTGAACTTAGCCCCATATTACCATTTGAACCTAAAATGTATAGTCCCTGCGATAAATTAATTACGTGATGTAAGTTGATATGATAATGCATAGAAGTTAGAAACGCGCAGGAGAGAATTTCACTGACCTGCTGTCGAGCTCTCTCAAGTTCCATTTCAAGTTGTGCTAGCTTCAAATTGCTTTTTTCAAGCTGCTGAACATAAGCCTGTGTTGAAAAGAGTTGGAAAACGAATCAAGATAGGAATTCTTCAAATATCTACAACACAAGAAATGTTAAAACTTTCACATACCTTTTTCCTCATACGGCTTTTACGTGCAGCTTCACGATTCTGTGCTAGACGCCGTTGTACCTAACTTTCAATATGCAAATATACTTAGCCTTTAACATCAGAGGTACATTTCGTTTATCTATTCGTTTTGCGTATATCACGAATGTTTCAATACTTTCACCTAAAACATATAAGCACGGAAACGAGAGATAACTAGAGATTTAAAGGTATGTTATGCCCACCTTGTCTGAAATACTCTTTCCTGCTTGATTATCCTCAGAGCCAGATGGTATAAGTTGGTCACTAGAAGTATATCCCGACTACAATAACCATAAATATCAGTTCAATAACGATAGAAACTTCGATTTTATTAGCTAGAAGATGCATGTATGGTTCTTTACCTTGTCATCTGCCCTGTCATTTGCCGGTGTGATCATACACGCACCAACACTGGGCATAATATCACCTCTAAACGCGTCTTCCCACATACTCATATGGTGGAATGGTTCGAATATGCCCATCCTTCTCGTGGGGGCAAACTGAGTTGATGTAGAACTCATGTTCATTGACTGAATCAAAAAGAAAGATCACATATCTTAGACGCGAATTTTAGATCACTGCAGAGCAGAGAGGGTAACAGAGTTATAGCTACGAAAATCATTTCTAAGAAATGACCGGACGACAAACAAACAGGTATTTTTTCGGATTATGAGATACATGAGGCACTTCTGGAGGATACAGCAAATTGTAGCTATGAAATCACCGAACAAGTCGCGTTATAGTTTGATCATTGATGACATGATATAAACTGCAATTGAGTTTCTACCAACAACAACATATCCAGTAAAATCCAACAAGTGGGGTCTGAGGAGGGTCGAGTGTATCCCGACCTTACCCCTAACTCGTGGAGGTAGACAGACTGTTTTCAAAGGACGCTCGGCTTCATAACAACAAATCAAAGTAGTTATGAAAAGGGAAAAGCGATAGTGAAGAAAACATAGCAACTAATAACGAAACGCAGTGCAAAACATCCAGAAAAGGAACAATAACAACAACAACAACAAAATAGTGCGAGAACTTAAACACAATAAACAACAGATGATGGTAGATATAAAAAAGATAAATACTACAAGAACAAGTCTAGTACTACGACAAACACCACCAAGCCAAATTAATCGAAAAGTAAGACAACGCTGCACTACCTACTATACGTCCACTCCGTCTAACACGAAAAATAGAATAGAGACTCCAATAAGGAGATCCATCAAACTTGATAGAACTTATCAAAGTGAAGAATCTAAACTTGACTAAACACTCTGTTTCAAAAATTGTTAGCTATTTCAAAATAGCTTTTTATGCTTCTCATCAAACCACAAATTAAAGGTAACTTGAAATCATCCATATTATTTCATGTAATCAATACAAAAAACACAAAATACCCAAAAAAAAATAAAAAATTAACACAAATAAATAGACTTCTAATATACAAGGCTAACACACCACCACAACAGCAGCAGAGTCAGAATTTTCAATAAAGAAAACTTTAAAATACTAACAAGCAAACATAACATATGAATATGTCAAACTAAAGAATTCAATATATACTATGTATACCTAAAACAAAAATAACTTCATATATACAGCATAATTTTTCGACGTAAACGAATTCACCTTAAAACACACACAAAAACATACAAGTACAACTATTATATGATATATAATTCAAGAATTCAACTTTTTAGGCAAACCATTAATACTAAAAAGAAAAAAAATACTGAAAAATTAAATAAAGGGGCTAACCTGTTCATAAGTACAAAGAAACTCTTCTACAAATTGGAGTTTTTCAAAATAATTAAAACTGAATTATGAAATTATACAAAGAAGAAAGGAAAAAAAAGAAATGGAATTTAGAGGCAGAGAAAAACAATAAAACTGACAAAAGAAAGTTGATAGTAAATTTATAAACAAAGATTAAAGTACTATGAAGGAAAAATAAAAATAAAAATAAAAAAAGAGACAAAGTATTAAAGAATTTGATTGCCTTTTTGAAAATGCTTGTCAATTTTTTGAAGGCTTTATATCATTATCAAAAAAATATTTTTTATATAATAGAAATAGGCGCGCACACACACGGACTTGGCATATTTATAATTATTTATAACAAACTTTAACTAACCTACCACATTTACGGAATTAAAGAATTTAGACGTTGTAAATTTTAAATTTAAAAAATATATTTTAAATATATATTAAATTTGTATATATATAATTTTAGATATATATCTGATCTTAAATTATGTCACGTAAATTTAGCGAGAAATATTGAAGGATATATTAAAATGGGATGATCCAAAACTTGTAGGAATATTATAAAGATCTTGATGACTTTTTTTTATATAACAATAGTTTTTTGT